GGTTTCTGATATTTTCAAAAATTGTTTGAAAGTTTTTATGTGCATCAGCAATATCAGTCTTATCAGAATGCTTATTTTTGAATAATATTAGCAAAACATGCAAATTTTGATCCAGAATTGGTGGGCAAGAAGTTATTTTTAAAGAGAACATGAATTTATTAAATACAATATTTTCAACTAATGAATAATTTTATATGCCCTGTATCTGCTTTGTAACTTGTAATTTGAGATATTTGCTTTTATCATTATAATCAAATACATTCGCTTATTATAACACATGATTAAAGTAAATTAAAGTATGTTTATTTTTGTACCTCTCAATTTGCTATTCACGATAATTAATTTATGTGACTCGAATAACTCGAATAAAACTCGATGATTATTATTATTTGAATGATTCGAGCACTCTTTGAAGTAGGGATGTTATCCTGCTCCAACCGGTTAGCTTGTGCTTAAAACCGGTTGGAACTCTGTTCGGAGCACATTTAAATAAAAACCGATTTTTTGAACTCAGTTTATATAAATGCATTAATAATTATGCTTGCATAAGCAGTTTAATAAAACCTGCTATCGCTTTACCTGCTTTTTTTTTTTGTTTTTTTTTTGGCGATCATATCGTCATTACTTTTTTTTTTTCTTTAAGCTATTATTTTTTTTTCTTTTGGCGATCATATCGCTATTACTTTTTTTTTTTCTTTTGGCGATCATTCATATCGCAATTACTTTTTATTAAAGCAAATACATTTAAAATATATAAATTTTTGCATTATAATATTATTGCATCTATTCGCTGTTATTTTTTTTATCCAATTTATTAATCTTCATTACAGTCAATAATACCCGCTTCAGACAACCTGTTACGTATTGAGTTGATTGTATTTTTGCTTTCGCAAAGGTTGCAATGTCATTTATCACCGACTTCAGTAAATTCATTCCAGAAAGGGTCCTTTTTTACTCGCTTTGGAGGATGGTTTGTTACTATAAGCGTTCCAGGTTCAAGTGCATTTTGAGATATTGAACCTGAAGAGGTAGGTTCAATTGAATCGATAAGTTCTTCAAATGTATTGTCTCCGTCCATCGAATAGTGAAATTCAAGCAAAAAAAATATGTTAAAAAAAGCAATCGCATATTTATATTATTAATTAAAAAAAAATAAATGATTAATTGTCGTCACATTAAATTAACTTTTAATTAAAAAAAAAAAATTGATTTTTGTTCGTTATAAGATAGTACATAATTTTTTATTCGCCACATCATGCCACATTAAATTAAAAAAAAAGTCAAAGAAAATTGATTTTTGTTCGTTATAAGATAGTAATTTTTATTTGTCATTTCACGCCATATTAAATTAAAAAAAAAAAGGTCAAAGAAAAATTGAATTTTGTTCGTTATAAAATAGAATTTTATATTCGTCATATCACGCCACATTAAATTAAAAAAAAAAGAGTCAAAAAAAATTGATTTTTGTACGTTATAAGATAGTAATTTTTTTATTCGTCATTTCACGCCATATTAAAACAAAAAAAAAAAGTCAAAGGAAAATTGATTTTTGTTCATTGTAAAATAGAATTTTTTATTCGTCATATCACGCCACATTAAATTAAAAAAAAAAAATTCAAAGAAAATTGATTTTGTTCGTCATAAGATAGTAATTTTTTATTCGTCATATCACGCCATATTAAATTAAAAAAAGAAAACTGATTTTTTTCGTCATGACGATAGTCTAAATTAATATTGCTCAATCGATCTATCAAACTCGTTTGGAGCATGATTTAATAATAAAAATCATGTGACCGCAAAAACTCGAGTTCCATTGGGTTCGGTTCCAAGCAGGGTTGAACTAAGTTTCGGCAAGCAGGATAACATCCCTACTTTGAAGTTTAATTCGTGAGTCACGAATTAATACGAGTCCACTCACTAATGGTGACAATATACAGTTCGTATGTATCGTCACCCTCATTCTATCCTTTCACAGATCATGAACTAAAAAACTCTGATAGAATACAGAATGAATAAAATTTCCTGTAAAATTATTTGTAAGTTATAGATTATCTAAAGCTTAGTGAAAAGGTGCAAAATATTTTATGATGCACATTGAATAGTAAGTGTATAAATATGTTTGTAACTTTAAATTTCAAATTTTGAATTTTAATATAATATATGTAGATTTTTAAAAAAAAAGACTGTAATCAAAGAATAGTGACGCTGTAGAATCGTCCCAATGAATTTTTTGATACAACCGACGGTTGAGACAAAATCCGTATGGATCCTATTGTGACGTATTAATAATTAATTACATACTATAATCAGTGACGTAACTTTAAATAAATCGTAACTTTCAATTAATAAAACGTAACTTTTAATATAGCGAACTTTCCGAAAATAAGCACCTCTTTTTTTTGCTATAAGGCTGTTTATTTTCGGGTATAATCTCAACTAATAATTTGAATGATTTGATATTTTGTTGAATTGTAGGGTAAATAGTCTATGTCATATAAATATTATCCCTTAAACTGTAATCCAGGCAAATTTGCTTGGATTTTTTTAGTAATATTACATTTTTTTAAATAAAATAAAAATTTATTAAGCATGTGGGGTATACTTTATTTATAGAATATTTTCTTTAAAATATATTTTATAAACTTTATTATGAAAATTTTTTAAAATTATTAATAAACTTTAAAGCAATAAAAGTTTAAAGTTTTTATTTTAAAACTTTTACTATAAAATTTTTCTTTAGGTTTTCTTAAATTTTATATGTTCCCGTCTATAAAAAAAATTTCACTTCTAATACAAGTCCTAATATTTACAAGTAAATCACAAAAGTTGCAATAATAAAAGTTGTAATCCTTTTTATAAACTATATCATTCTATTAAATCAGAAAGCTAGAGCTAATATTTATAGAGTTCGCCAAGAAAAAGTAGATAATTTTTTTGGATAAAAAATTTTTTAAAATTTGTCTATTTTTAGCTTATTAGCAATTTAAACTTTTTTTCTTATAATATAAAATTAAATACTACTATAATATAATCCTTATTTTCAAATATTATCAAAAAAAATTTAATTAAATATCTAAAGTTTTAAAAAATATAGATCATAAGCATATTTATAGCAATTTTCCAGGCAAATTTGCCTGGATTTGCTTACAGTTTAAGGGATAAATAAAAAATTGATTCATTTAATTTTTTTTTTAACGTAGGGATGGATCGGTCCTGAAAAGACCAAATAAGAATCAATCTTTTTAACCGGTCCTTGGTCCTGAGACCAGTCCGGACCAGTCTTCATAAATAGCTAATTAAATTATTAATAAAAAAAAATATTTTGATAATCGCTCATTTCAATTACCGATGCCATTTGATTTAATTCTCTCCGCTAGCCAATAGGACGCATTAATGGACCGGTCTTATTAGGACCGGACGGACTGCCTATTTTAACGAAATAATTTAATAATGAAATTATTTAATGTAGGCTTCTCATATGTATTATGTATGTAAACATTATGGCATAAAAAAATATAAAGTATACGTAGCATATCGCGAGTTACGACATATAAAAATTAAGTTACGGCGCATGTAACAGTTACGGTATGGTCGACACATACGCGTTTCGACATCCCGTGACTTAAAATAAAGTGCTACAACGAGTTATAACTTAGTTACTATACGGCTTATCTGAGATTCTACGTCATCACTAATCAAGAATTTTAATGTTAACAAAGTAAAAAATTTAAATATTGTTTAAAGTCATTACATTTCTTGAAATTAAAGGAATTGTTAGTTTATGGACTATTGTAAAAGATACGATTTCTACAAAGTCGGAAATTTTATGATTGATATGAAATTAATCTATTATATTATATTGAATTATAGTCTATAACGTTGTACACTTGAAGTTAAATTGACAGTTTAAAAGATTATAATTTGCAAAAAAACAATTATAATATACTTGATTGTAATCACATTAAAAATCTTTTTAAGAATTATATATTTTGCACTTTAGAGATATAATGATATCATGATGGGTATTAACCTTGATCATTTTGAGTTTGATTTAATTTCAAATGCTGTTATTAAATTAAATTCATTAAATACGAATTTACATGTAAATAAATTTCAATTATATATCGTTATGTCAAATTTTAAATAGTTAGGGCGAAAGCCTATGTTAGGGTAAGAATAGGTATTATGATTATTTAATCTGACGCAAATATTAATTTGACGCACAGATATATAAACTTTAATTTTTTTTATCAATTATATCAGCAAGTATATACCATTAAAAACATAATACAGTTTTGGCCCAAAAATTTAACATTTTTTTAATTCCTGAAAAATTTTTGATATCAAACCTTGAACTGTCGTATTTTAGACAGTTCTTTAAGCACTATAAATAAAAAAATTACTCATGAAATTATTTATTATTATTATTTTTTATTGAAATATTGGAAAAGCTTCAGTCTATTCTGTATTACTATTTATTGTAGCGCAGATTAAAAACCTTAATGCTGATTACTGTAAATATTATTTCTTTTTTGATCGAATCAATTATACATTGTCTATCCTGAAGTACTATTATCTAATGATTAGATGCTACATAATGATATAGTAATAATGTATAAACTCGCATGCAAAAAAAATTTTTTGTCGTGCCACATTGATATAATCTGGACAATGAAGATGCATTTTCGATACAAACTTGTACTAAGCAGTCAATCATTTCTATTTTTCTTATAAGTCGTAAATCAAAAAGGAAATTTAACAATAGTGATTGGTAATTATTGTTTCAATTTCCCTTTTAAGTTATGATTAGATGTACTAACGCTAAGAACCACAAAAAGTCGAAAAATCAACTCGATTTGACTAACACGTTTCATGAACTTAACCTTTATGACTCTAAAAACAAAGAATTATCTGAAATTACACTATACATGTTTAAACTAATTTTAAAAAAAAAATTTTTTTTTTATATATTTCTAAAATGGTGAAATTTATTATGTGATGCCAGTTTAGCTCAGTTGGGAGAGCGTCAGACTGAAGTTCTTAGTGACATCTGAAGGTCGTGTGTTCAATCCACACAACTGGCAAGCAACTAAATGTTTATTGTTTTGTCAAAATCATTTAATTAATAATGATTATCCTGATATATAATTCTATATTATTAATATTAACGTTAACAACTAAAATCTACTCAAAACAAGATTGCTATTGTAATTTTATTTATATTTAATAATAAATATTAATCCGCTCTTTAGAAGAGGGTCTAAATGTTATAATGTGACGGTCTTTTTTTAAAAAAAAGACTTTAGTATGTAGTGAACGTCTTTAAAAGGTCGCCGTTGTATAATGAACATCCTTGAAAAAAAAAGAGGTGTTACGCCCTTAGATATGTGTTGCGTAACAATCTTTTTTTGAAAAGTTGTGTAACAAGCATGTTAACAACCAAAATTGACGTCACGTAACAAATTAGCAATGACGCGAAAATTTGTTTACATAAGTTGTAGGGTTCTGCAAACTCGGCAAATGCCTTGTACAAAAAATATATATATATTTAAGGCATGGGCCTAACATTGTTTTAAAATTTGGGACATAGGCAGTGTTTATTTTCACGTGCCCGCATCTGTGCCGATCTAATCAAATTGTTTTATTTCAAAAAAATCAAGTAATTTGATTGAACAATTGGCGCCAGGTGCAATGGAGGGTCACCAAAACTCCGGGTCAGAAGACGTCGGAATGCATCGGAATCATGGTCGGCTGGATCGGAATTGATCAATTTTGCCCCCAAGATCATTACCATATCAATTCATTATTAAGTAAAAAATGTCCAGCTGATAATTTTGCTATAGAATCTGCTAGGCTAAACGTCGACCTAGATCCAACGCATCCGACTCAGAAATTTGGTTATCCTCCTCCTCCTGTAAAAAATAGCATTAGTGCCAGGTTGGGTGTTCGATGTACTATGTAGATCAAATTTATGTATAGTCCCATATTAAAAAATTGATATCGATATGGTTTTTGTTATTCACAATACCCGATATCACATAGGGTTAAGATTAGCATTTATTTAGTTGCAGGTATGTATTGTTAGTAAATTGTCACCTGCGTGATGTTGTGTGAATAATTTGAGAAAAATGAGACGTAACCAATATTGAAAATATTTGAAATTAAATAAAAATTCTAATAAAAAAAATTTCAAAAAAATACTCTTTTTTAAAATATTAGATCTGCTGAGCAATTGTGTAATATTTCTAAAGAAGTTAATATGTAAATTATTGAGGAAATAGGTTTGAAATTTAACAACTTATAAAAAAAACTAAAATTTAAACCGTATCTCCTCAATATTTTTTTACATATTAACTTCCTTATAAATTTTACAGCATCGTTATTTTAAGAAAAAGGAACGCTTTTTTTTAAAAAAATAGTAATAAATTGATCACTAGTTGTTTTTATTATGATAGTACTTCGATTCACCGGAACTTGTCGGAGTGCATCGGGATCATGATCGGAATCGATCAATTTTATCTAATGAAATCATATCCATTCATTAACTTAAATAAAACATACCCAGCTGATAATTTTGCAATAGAACCTGCTAATTATGAGGGCTAAACGCCGACCTAGATCCAACGCATCCGACCCGGACATTTGGTTATCCTCCTGTAAAAAATCTAGTGCCAGGCACAGTGCAATACCGGAAATCAGATTAAAATGAAATATGATAGCAGATGGTATAAAAAAAATTGACAAATCACCGAAAAATAATTTTTTTGGGGCGCATTTTTTAGGGTTAAGGTTAGAGGTTAGTTTTAGAGTAGAGTTTATATTAAGCAAGTATAAGTGGGTTTTAGAGGGTTAAATAGAAAAACCGAGATTTCATTTTAATTATGATCCGCGACATTAATTAAAATTTTTTTATCAAACTTACGCAGGTTAAGTGATATTATGAAACCAATTAGTAATCAAGATCCTATCATTACGAGTTAAAGATTATTAATAGGTAATTTAATTATTGTAGCAGATTATAATGAAATTAGATTAAAATGAAACTGGGGACCTCTCTTGCTCACCTTTAAAGCTTATAAAACCCACATATACTCGTTTATTAATAACCCTAACCCTAAACCTAACCCTAATGCTAAAAAAAACCCCCCAAAAATGTCCCCTAAAAAATTTTAAAATTTTGCTTAAAAAATAGAAAAATTTCATTTTAATCCGATTTCATTTTAATCTGTCACAATTATTACATTTACACCTCGCCATAATAAAGAATGGTATTAACTAAATTGCTATAATATCCTTCGTAAATATGGATGGATTCAAAGCATCCGATAATGGTATTATCCGAATCCCATCTGCATTACAATCTGTGAATCCTTATCATTATGCAAGATTACAATATTTTTTTGAATATGTTTTCTTTTTAACGAAATAATAAAAAGTATAAAGATGTTTTGCATTGGTAAATTTTAAGAAATGTCTATATAAGACAATGTGGAATGAACCCGACAATCTAATGCAAAAAAAAAACAATTCAGCAAACCATCAATAATGTTAGGATCCGGGTGTATTTTGATAGAAAAATACGGCTGCAGTTTATAAAATTTTTGAAACAGTAAATAGGATTGATATATCTACAAATAACTGCTCTTTTCATTTTAGTGTTCACGGATAATCGAAAAACAAATTAATTTTTGTTTTTTTATTAAAAAATAATTGACTTCCGTAATTTTGTTTTTAATACTAAATCTTGAAATTGAGAATATAATTTTTTAATTTATTTTATTATATCTAAATCTTGTTCATTGATATATAAATATGAATAATTACTACCGAAGTATCAATGTATGAATTTTTAACATGTTCGGGTATTATTAATTTGGATTCATTTAACTCTGTAAGGATTTGTTTATCGTTTTTCCATTTTTAAAAATTTCAGAGTTCTTCTTTTCCGGATCTTTATTCCAACAATTTTTCATCAAGTTCACGTAACATCATGGAAATTCTTCATTAATGGGTGGTTGCAAACCGCTAAGTATTTGCATTGTTTGATTATCATTTAATTTAGGTGTTCGAAGTTATAATTTCGTTTAACGTCCCCTTTGAAGCTTAAACATGATCGGGGGAGGGGGGTCAATCTAAACGTTAAAGTAAATATAACCACATTATTATTGTTTGACGTATAAACACGTGACTTATTGGGCCTGTTTAATTTTAATTTTAGGGGGAGCTCTTGGAGCCGGAGGGGAGAGAACGTTAAACGAAATTGTGATTTCGAACAGCCTTATAATAATGTAATACACATTTACCGTACAATAGATAATCGCCAAAAGAATAAACATCGGATTCCTTAGTGTGTCGTTGTCCGTTTAAAATTTCTGGAGCAATATAAGGTAAAACTCTATAAACTTCTTCATTCTTTTGTTCAGATATTATAATATATTGTATCGAAAGACCCACGTCTGCAATGTTACGCAAATTATCTTGCAAATGTTACCACTGTGAAGTTCTAGATGAACAATTCGTTGGAAATGAATTGCTTTAAAACCAGAAGCTATGCAAAGTAATATATTTAGCTTATCTTTCCATTTAATTTTCGATATATATTGGAAATTCTGACGTAAAGAACCCCATGATTGCGTATTTTAATACGAGAATGTAATTTCCATTTTCTCTTGATATACCATGACATTTCATAAATGAAGGATTTTCAACTCCGATGTCGCAATACGTTTTTAACTTTTTAATCATTTATTTTTAATAATAAAATATATATACACCAAATAAAATATGTCGCAGCTGATGCTGAAAACGGCTGATGCTGAAATTTGGGATCTCGATTTGAAACTATAAGCCCTGCTAAAATCCACAAATATTCTTTAAATATCAAATCTACACCTAAACCTCACCCTAACCCTATAAGACAAAAACGAAAAAATCACCACAAAAAAATTTTAAAATTTCATATTAAAGTAGGTCAAAATTTCAGCATCAGCCGTTTTCAGCACCAGCTGCAACAATTATTGTCACAGCATTCATGCAAAAAATTTTACAAAGTAATATATCAATTGTCATATATTTCATCAGTATATTGCTACATTTGGTAAATTATGGAGATTCTAAAGCACTAGTTCAATAGATCGAAGCTTAACTTTGATTAATGGTAATTGAATAAACTTACCAATCAGATGGGTTATTATTTAAAACTTAAATTTAAAAAGGTAAAAATGTTTTTATAGCATCACTAATTTTATAGTTGGGGTTGAGTCAATAGAAACAAAGCATTTTTTTTATATTAAAATTTTTATAAGACCTTTTAATTTAAACAATAATAATTTAACAAAAACAACCAAATTTATAAAAAAAAATTTTTTTTATAAATTTGCAAAATTAATTTAAAAATTTTTACTAAATTATTCTTGTTTAAAGTTTTAAAAAAAAAGGTATTAAAAAATATTTGCTTGGTTCCTATTGACGCAACTCCAGTTATGTATCTAATATCAATCTCATTAACTTTCATCAAGCATACTGTTTTTCATTAGTTCTATAATCTTTGTTAGTTTTATCAGCTTTGAGTAAATTAAGATTTCAGAATTTCGAAAATAAGTGGGATCCTATATCGGTAATAAAATTAATTTCCTTTAATAAACATATACTGGTTAATGATTATGTAAATAAAGTATATCATTTCGAAATAAATAATAAACTATTTATTTATTTTATCTGAAATCGGATGTCAATTCTGAAACCCCTATTAGATCATTTTACTAAGATTAATATTTGTTAGCAATTTTAATTCTATAGATAAATCGCCCATCTCTAAGTACATTGCTTACGCACTATTCTCTGATGGTACTTTATGTTACAAGTATACAAACAAAAAAAAAAAAAAGAACAGCAAATGCGTAAAATATTATAATTGTAAAAAATTAGTCAACCGACTTTGAAAAAAATCGATCGACTAGGCAGATAATTAACTTTAGCTGATTTCTTCATTATTTTGTATTATTGACAAAAATTATTAGTGCGCACTTATTTTGTATCTTTTAGAAGTCCATATCTACACCCACACTAGTATTCCCAATAGAAA